TATATATATATATAATCTCTAGGGTGGTGGTAAGATAGCTCAATGTACTAAGCACCTGCTCAGGCAAGCACAGGGACCAGGGTTTGATCCCCGGCACCACATCCCGCACCAGCCCTGCCCCTGGGTAGGCTGAGCCAGCCACTGAGTCCAAGCGTGGTGGCACACACCTGTAATCCCAGTGCTGGGGAGGCTGCAAACAGGAGGATCACTATGAGTCTGAGCTGTGTAGTGAGACCCCAAATACATTATATATAAACTCATCCTCATCATCCTCATCTTCACCATCTATGGGGACAGGGCCTGGGGTGGGTTTAGGCCCAAGCATCCAAGTCCCTGCAGAGCCTGGAACAGCCCCAAGAAGGCAGGACCAGAAGACTGCCCTGCTGGGTGGCAGAGACCGCCAGGCATGGTAGTGACTTCTGCACCCATGGCCCTGGCTCCCTGGCTGGCCCTGAGGGTGCCCTGCCCCCCCCATAGACATTGATGTCATCCAAGCCCCAAGGCCCCAGGCAGAAGGTGGGGCGGTGGGAACAGAACATGCCATCCCAGGACAGCACCAGGGGGTGCTGTGGCTTTTCCTGGACCCCTGCCTGGGGGAGGGGCTGAGCCAAGGAAAAAGAACTCTTGCCTCAGCCCCTGCACCTGCCGCCCATGCGGCCCCAGTGCGGAGCGGTGGCCTCCATGATGGCAGAGTGAGCAGGCTTGGCCTCCTGAGAAGGCAGCCTGATTTCCCTGGGCAAGGGGAACAGGAAGAAGGGTGGTTGTGGAATTTTGGGACTGCCAGTCTATGCTCCCCCCAATAACACTGCAGATACACAGACACTTGGGGACATGGGTACCTTCACAAGGCTTCCTAGGCAGCCCCCTGTGGCGATGAGACCCCTGTGGTGGAACCCCCCTCCTGCACCGGGGCCTGGCGAGTGCTCAACAAGGTGGTCAGGGCATCCCCACCCAGAGGCAACACTTACCAGGCTCCTCCCAGGGCTGGGTGCGTGGAAAGGGGTCTTGGTTGTCTGTGCCCACTGTGTGCAGGCATCGGGTGGATGCCTGTCCTGGCTTGGAGTGGGCTGTCTGCCCGAGCGCTGGGTGAAGTCTGCCCAGCCAGGCTGCACTGCCAGTGGCCTGGGAGCACAGGTCATCTGATGCCAGGGCTGGCTGGCTGGCTTGGCTAGCTGGGGGCAGGGCCAGGGATCTGGGAGGGCAGAGGACAGGAGGAAAAGGAGGAGTGGTCTGAAGGGGGGTGGGGAGCTCAGCTGAGCTGCCTGGGGGCGCAGGGCCGGGCTGTGGGCACCAGGGGGCGATTGGCGTGAGGGCCCCGTGTTTTGTTTTTGGTTTTGCCTTGCACATGCTAAGCGCGTGCTCTACCCCCATTGTCACCCTGGCCTACTCTGCTCAGAAGGATAGTAGCAAAGCCCAACAGTCGCTGCCAGGCTGACCAAGTACATGCTGGGTATGAGCTTACAGCCGGGCTCCTCAGTACAGATGCATGCCCAGGGAGAGGGCTCCGAGGGGAGGGTGCAGGGTGCAAGACGGGCCCAAACTGTGGACCCAGGGATAGGGTGGTGGGGCCAGCAGCTGGGGCTGTAGCTAGGGAGAAACAGAGACCTGAGCACCGGGCGGAGGCTGCGGGACAGGAGCTGAGAGACTGGCGGGCGTGGCCCGCCTCCACCCTGAGTCCAGGCAGCCAGGCGGCGTGGGCTCGGGCTCTGCTTTGGGGTCAAAGGTGGCTGAAAAGTGCAGCCCTCCAGGGCAGCATGGTGGGCAGAGGCGGGCGAGGTGGGGCATGGGAGGAGGCGCTGGGTGGCTTCTGGTGGCTGTGTCCTGGGGATAGCTGATTACCTTCACCCCTGCGGTGCCCTCTTTGTCCCTAGGGGCCGGCCTGGCTGGGTGGGCTCCCTGGATGTGGGGGGCAACTCAGCAAGTGGGGAGCCTTCTTCCCAGGACCTTCCCTGTCCATCTTTCCCTTGTCTACAACGATTTCTCTGCTGTGACAATCATGGGCCTCCCAAATGCAGGCATTGGGTGCTGCCCCACAACAGAAATTTAGCAGTAGGATGGGGTTCCCATGTGTGTCCCACCCTGTCCCAGCCCAGAGGGGCAGGCAGCTGGGCACTTGCTTCCTGTGTGCTCTGTCCCTCCTGTGGCCCATGGCCCTCCCAGTTGCGGTCCTGCTTGTGTGACCTGCTCCTGAGTATCAGGTTGCCAGGTTCCCAGTGAGGAGGAGGGTGTGACCCACCTCCCTCCCCTTGCCTTCCCGGCTGCACCCAGATCCAGTTCCGAGCCTGGAGCCCCTGGGGAGGGGGGAGGCCCTGCAGGGGAAGGGGGTCCCACCTGGCGGCCAGAACATGGCTCGGCCTGAACTGGGGTCTTGGGAGGGGCCTACTTCCTGCTTCTGTGTTGTCACAAAGAGCCAGTTCCATGCGGACTTGTTGTTCATCTACTTATCTGACAACATTTTTGAGCCCTAAACATGTGACAGAGACACACAGCAGTCACGAAACATGCGGGAACTGACAGTCGGCTTTCTGTTACGCAACCAAATAGGTCACTCTGCCTCTGTCCTCCTGTGGTGGCCAATCCTCTCCACGGTCATTTTCCAGGCTCAGCTTCCTGCCTGAGATCCTGCTGCTGCCAGGAATCTCTGTGGCCATTCTGGGAGGCGCCTTTGCCAGCCATGGTTCCCGCTGGCTGCCACCATGCTGCAGGCTGCTGGGGTTCCAGGAAAAGCCCCTCTACCCTCTTCCTGGCTCCCACTCCTGGCCACCACTTGGTGCACACCCCTTCTTCCCCTGCTCCTGCCACCCCACCACCCCACCGCCCCATTCCTGGGAAGCAGGGTGGGACCCTGCGCTGGCACAGCGAGGGTGCCTAGTGCCCAGCAGCCTGCAGATCTCTCAGAATCCCACCCACATTCCTGCAGGCCCAGGCCCAGAGCCTGCGCAGGGCACCCACTGGGGTCCCAAATAGCGTCAGGGCTGAGGGAAGCCAGGGCGCCATGAATCCGCCAAGTGCAAACCTGGAACACACTCTTTGCCTTGCAAGCAGGGGGATGTCGTCACTCTGGGCTTGGGGACTGAATGTCACTTCCTGGATGCCCAGTCAAGGGTGGATTCTTGGCTCCTTAGACTCACACAGTGCTCCCCACAACCTCAGGAGGTGTCAGGCCCTTGTCACCTTCATCTTTCGGCAGGGGAAACTGAGGCAGAAAGCAGCCTCCTCACAGCTGGCCAGTGGCAGAGCTGGCCTTTGGCCTGAGTACCCCCTCCCAGCCTCGGCCCTATTCTGGGGAGACTCAGGGTCACGTGTCCCCAGCCGAGCTCCACCACTGGGAGGCAGGAGGCACCATGGCCCACATGCGCGTGCAGGTGGGGCACTGGGCAGGAGTAGGCTCTCAGCAGCTCCAGGTCCAGTCTACCTCCTGCAGCTCACAGCTGGCTGAGGCCCAGAGAAAGGACACTTCCCGAGGGCCACGTGGGGTCGGGACCCGGAGGACGCAGGCCGCTTCTCCCAGTGAGGTGGCAGTTAGGATGGCCCTTCTTGTGAAGTTTTAACCCACGAAGGAGCCAGCATGAGCCTGGACACCCGGATGGTGCGTCATCCACACCGCAGTGCAGGGCACGTCTCCTTTGCCTCTTGGAGGCCTTGAGGGCCTCTGGGCTGGCCAGCAACAGAGCAAGGGGCCAGAGGGGCCCCCACCTGCCACCGTCACCTGAGACTCCTGAGCCACGATGTCTGTCTGGATTTAACCGCTTTGCTAGCTCCACAGAAACTGGCAGGACATCAGAGCCTCCACAGGCCGCCCTTCCAGCCTTTCAGTCTGCACTGAGGACCGACAAAGCAAGGCTGCAGAGGATGAAAGCCCTGCCCAGAATTGCGCGGCGGCCACCGGAAGAGCCAGGCTTATGCCTGCGTCCCCAGGGTTGGTGGTGGGGACACACACATGCTAACCAAGCCCAGGCCCGGCGTCCTCCTGGGCAGCCAGCGGTGATTTCCCTGGGGCTGCTGGGACCTCTCAATGGCCCAACACCAGCAAAAAGCCTTCAACCCAGTGCCCAACACAAGGTCCCCCTGAAAACCTTTTTTTTTCTTTGTGTTTTAGTACAGGGTCTAAGGGTCTCATTACGGAGATCAGACCCATAGTGATCCTCCTGTTTTTAGCCTCCCAAGTGCTGGGATTACAGGGCTGTGCTGTCTCAGTCATCATCTCAGAGCACCCCGGGGGCAGCCAGCACAGCATGCTGGGGATCGAACCGTCACTGCACCTGCCTAAGCAAGCGCTTTAATCCACTGAGCTGTCTGGCCAGCCCTGAAACCGTAACTATTGATAGTACTGTGACTGGAGGGGGTGAGTCAGGCCACGCCGAGATGGGACTCCATCTGGGGCCCTCTGGTGGCCACAGCTTCTAACCCTTAATTCTGATTCCTGGTTATGTGGTAGCTTGGGATATTTGAATCTGAGATTTTGGGGACTATTCCCCAAACTGAGGACACATGAGGTGTTACAGGACAAGCTAACCTGCTCGCTGAGTGGGTGGGTGGGGGCACAAGCCTCCTAGGAGAGAGAACATACAGGTTGGGCTTTGCAGAGTGTGTAGGAGTTCCTGGACAAGTGAAATTGGGGCACAGAGGAGCCTGGTGCCCATATTTCCTTTGGGAAGCCAGCACGCTTCCCTGCTCACACCCCAGCCAGTGGAAGCCCAGGGAAGAGTTCCCCCCGAGACTCCCAGGGGCTGGGCTCGCAGGCGTGGTGCTGTGAGCTGGAGGGGCACTATACATGTGGACGCTGCGCTGGCAGGAGAGTCCTGGCCCGGGCTGCGGAGTGAGGCCAGGGACAGTCGGGGTGGCCGCTCGTTATTTATGGCTGTTTCTCCGCGAGTCCTTCAGGGCCGCCAAGGTAATTGAATAAGTGAGCGTGAGCAAAGGCGAGCGATCATTTAATTGTGGCAGAAAATGAAGTTGGTTGCAGCTGGGGGCTGCTGGCCCATTACCGCCGGCCTGGTTTCTGCTGAGCTGGGCATGCGGGGCGGCAGCGCCATCCATCCTCAGCAGCTCCCGCCCTGTCCCCTGGCAGCAGGCCCCAAGCCTGGTGGGGCCTGGCTGGCCTAGCAGGGCTGGCGGTTCTCTGCGCGGCCCACTCCCCAGGTCTCCTTTGTGCCCCAGGAAGGCAGCAGAGGGGCCTGGGAGGCCCCGGAGGCAAGGGCTGGCGGCCCAGCAGCAAGAGTGGGGTTCACACGGGGACGTTTGCAGCAGTGGTAGCGGCAGCGGCAACCGCACTCCGGCCCCTGCTGTGTGCCCACGTGCTATTCTGCTGGACGCCAGCTCGCCAGTCTCCTCACAGAGGAGGCCCTGCCCTACCTGACTTCAGATGAGGACACTGAGGCGCGGGCTTACGACTGTGCCCAGGTCTCAGAGGCCCCCTGGGGGACTCTGAGGAGGGGCTGCTGCAGCCATCCAACTGGGACACAGGAAGACCTGTGCGCGAGGCCCCCCACCGAGCCCTGGGGACCTCTGAAGGCCTGGCAAGACTTTTCTCTCTGGTCTGATTTGAGCCTCGCTGCCCCCAGTGCCCAGCCCTCTGGGGCAAGGCCAGGGCAGATAACTGAACCCCAGATTCTGAGGCTGGAAAGAGGAGGGGCTGCCTGCAGGCCCAGGCAGCTGCTGCCCACGGCTCTGGGCCCCTGGCCTTGCTGCTGGTGTCCTTTCCAAGGTTTCCAGGAGGAGATAAAATTAGACCTGGATTGGAACTATGCTGGGAAGGGCCAGGCTGGGCCTGGGTGACCTCAGGTGGATCCCTCTAGCTAAGGTGACCAGAAAGCAAGTTAAAACAAACCTGGATTTCAGGCAAACAACTAGGGGTTCTGGGCAAGGATATTTATTCCATGGGATTCTGATTAAACAGGGTCCTGTGTTTGCTTGGTGGGGGCTGCTGTCCCAGCCTCAGTTTTCTCACCTGTGGTGCAGGGTGCTAGTACAATGCTCTCAGTGCCTGTCGTGAGGATCTGGAGCCCCCGGGAGCTCCTCTTCCTGAGTGCAGACCGTACCCGTGTGTCTGCCCAGGCTGCAGGCGTCCGGTATCTCACAGAGGCTCCTAGGAGCACAGTGGGGGTGGGGGTAAAGCTGTTAGTCCACCAGTCATCCGTTCCTCACTGAA